AACCCCTTTGCCAGGGGACAAATGCTCGTCGTGCTGCTAGAGCTCTGCTGTCAGTCTCCATGTACTTGTCCTTCAGAAGCTTCATCCCACCTCTCCTTCCTCTCTGAATTCCCACCCTGCGCCAAGTTGCATCATTGAGCACAGGAGAGGAGATGCATCCCATGGGAGGAGCAAGCATTGTGGGACACAGCTGAGTTTCTGTCCTTCCAAAGCAGCAAAACGGCTAGGACCTTTGGTAGTCTATTGCCTGTGGTAATCGAGGAGCTCAGCCTTTAGTCTGGCAGACACTAGTCTTGTCCTATTTTTCCCTTCCCTTTGATCACCCCTTCTATTGAACTGCTTGTGTGCAAAAAAACTTTTTTTTTTTAAAAAAAAATCTCTTTTTCTTCAAATAGAAAAAGGAGAGTGAATGTTTACAGTTGAAGATCCTGGTGCTACGTAATGAACTGGAGAGGCAGAGGAAGGCCCTTGGTCAAGAAGTAGCCTTGTTGCATAAGGAAAAAAATACTTTACATGACAGAGGCAAGTCTAGAAATGTTCCTGCTTCCATTGCAGATATTCCTAATCTGCTGAGCAGAAGAGTAGTAGCCAAGCTTATGATCAGGGTGACCAACATGAAGGTGCTGTTTTGTTTTGGGTTTTGGCCTGGCTCTAATGTGCTTGTTGTGTTCTTTATCTGAAGTTTGCAGCCAGATACAATCTCTTCACCCTCTGTGTCATACTGGATTCTAGACAGCAGTTTCTGGTATCCTGTCTCTAAATGACACCGCTTTAAAACAATCTTAAATCTGTGCTTAATTAAAATTCTGTGAGCAAATCAGAAGAGCTGTACTGTAAACAGTGACTTGGTGCAGACACATTATAATGTCATGAGGGATGTTATTGTCCCGGTGATTAGGATTCCGTTTTAAGACAAAAATCCCTCTTAATAGCTTATTACATAAGTGAAAGGTGAAATGCTCAGTCTTCCTGGTATTTTGTTTTACTGGGAAAGTGTCCTATAGTAAAATGCTGCCTCACTGTCTCTTTGGAGCTCACCAGAGACCAAGCTACGCCAATATTTGATCTTGTTGCAGGACTTTTGTTTTGTTTTGGTTTTGTACCTAGTTGAGTCTAAAATAATTAATCACTACTAAAAATAAGGCTTTTGCCATTTACTTAATTCTGACTGTGCAAGTAGTGAGGTGTCTTCCACTACTGTGGACATGAAGGGAAGAGAATTAAAGAAGAATGAGGTTTCATTGGTTATATTTGACTGGTGGATGGTGTATAGTGCATGGAGACTTGTGATCCTCCTGCTGTCACCCCAGTTTGACATCTAAGACTAAGTGGAGGATTATTGCCAATGTTTGTGTGGGTATCTACTTTTAAAACTTCTGATAACTACATAGATATTTGATACTAATATTTTTCCTGATTCCTCCTGTTGTTTAGAAAACGCGTTTGAGACTGAATACCAGAAACTTCAAGAACATAATGAATCCCTGCAGGAATTAAGGAAGGAATGCACTGCTAAGAGGTAAAAGGACCTATGCTTTTTCTGCAATTGGAAAGGAAATGCAGGCTTGAGAGTAGGACATTTGAAGTGGGCCTCACGGTGCCAAATTCTTCCTGATGTCACCCCAAAACTTCTCTGCTACAATTTGTCGATATCTAAAGTGATAATTAACAGTGGTAAGTCTAGAAGAGAAGACAGATGCTTGGTTACGCGTGTAGGCTGTAATAGGATGTTTAGGTTTGTTTTCGTGAAACACAGCTTTGTAATTCTTAATTGTCATAGTTAAAATATACAAATGACAAGTTAGCTTTGTGTTCTGTAGTTACCTTTGTGAAATTACCTGGCTTTTTAGGGGAAGGTAGGTGATACTTGGGAATCATTCTATGATTCTATGATAAGATGCAGAAGGGATATGAGGGCTTGGTATCTTAAAGCTTTTGAAGAAACTAATGGGTTTGGGATTTCTTTCCCCAAAGAGAACTGTTTTTGAAGACAAACGCGCAGCAGACTATTCGATGCAAGCAATTGCTGTCAGAGCTATCCTATATCTACCCTATTGATCTGGTATGTTTTTAACATTCTAAAAATCTGAACTTCCTATTTATTACACTTCGAGCAAATACCGTGGTTTTTTTCGTGATGAAGCTGGCTCTTCACTCATGCTGTTTTTTCCAGTGTTTTCTTGGATTTGGTCTTTAGATTGCGAACCTCATGGGGAGAAGATTTATGCCAGCATCTCTCAAATAGTCTCCACTATAAAAGCAAAATAGCTGTAGCTGTAATTTAATTGATACTTTCCATTTTGTTTACAATTATATAAAATAACCCTGACAGTAGGTTAGCTGAACTTTAACGGAGTGCACAGAGAGATGTCAAAATATTGAGCTCCAAAACCTTTTGTATAATGAATCGATTAAGATGAAGCTCTTCCTTCTTTAAAATGTTACATTTGTTTCTGAATTATATGAAATGTGGACTAAAACGCTATGTCAAAGTCACTCTGGATTTCATTGAACATTTATTTTTTTCTTTACAAAAATGCTTTGTCATCAGGTTTTGTGCAGGTTTCTGTTTTCTGGATGTTATTGTTCCATTCTCACTTTCCATATTTGATTTTAAACTTACAGAATGATCAAAAGGATTACTTTGTTTGTGGAGTCAAGCTTCCTAATTCTGAAGACTTTCAAGGTAGCTGGATATTATTGATTTAGTTGTTGTAATTGACACTGCTTCTAAACATCATGTAATTAAGCAAACTGATAGCAATGGCTTAGGATCTAAATTTCTGACTGGAAAGGTCTAGACTAGAAGAAAACTGATGCATTATTTATTCCTACTTCCTAGGTAGTACAAAGGATGTCACTGTTGATTCTTAGAAAAGTACTTCTGTATTCTAAGATTCAACGCTGGAACAGGTTACTTGGAGAGGCCGTGGAGTCTCCATCCTTGGGGATGCTCAAAACCCAATTGGACACGGTCCTGGGCAACCTACTGTAGCTGCCTGTGGTCTGAGCAGGGGGCTAGGACTACGCAGTTTCCAGAGGTGCCTTCCAAACTTAGTGATTCTGGAAAATATTTGCATTTGACCTAGAATTCCGTTGTGGCTACTTTCAGTCCATAAATCTTGGTGGGGCAATGTGCACAAATCCCCAGTTTGCTGTAGTTGCCAGTGAACTTATCAAATATCTTGCATAAGTAAGACTTGAAAATTGCCTGACAGTGTGGGGTGTTTTGTAAGTCAGCTTTTACTTGAAGTGTCTACAGTCATCCTGTAGGCAGGGGGGTTGGAACTAGAAGATTTTTAAGGCCCCTTCCAACCCAGACCATTCTATGATCCCGTTGCAGAAGCAAATACATACTGTGCCTGTCTGTATAACAGTTGTGCAGGTAACTGCATGCAAGCATCTACAAATGTTTGACATGAATTGAAACTTCATTAAAATCCTCTTGGAAAATATCTTGCTCACGGTACTTGCTCGCTCTGCAAGGCATGCGGGTTCTTCGTCAAAAACCTCGGTTAATTGTCTAACTCTTTAAAGCCATTCCGTAGGTATTAACTTGTGCTAATGACATGTATATTGGATGCTAGAATAATGGAGGAATAAACAGTAAAACAAATTAGCTTGTCAGTGTGACAAAAATCAATCTATTGCTTTGTTTTCCTGATTGCACTAATGAGCTCCGTTTGGTTATTCTTGAGAAATCAGTGGCATGCATCTTTTGGCCCATGTTCAGTTTACTGGTGTTAATTCCTTACAAAAGAACTACTAATTCTTAATCAAAGTCTCTAGAAATAGTGTATTATGAGGAAGAACTACTAAGCATTCAACTTAGGGAAATATGGAGTTAAATTTGAAAACCAGCTGGCTGAAATGTCTTATTTCAGACTCTTAGTAGATAATATTTAACAAAAAAAAAAATCAGGTGTCTGAAGGATCAAAAAAAAATTATTCCCTAAAAAGCCAGTTTTGCTACAAATGTTGAACACTGTTTTTACAAAATCCTTCTTGAAAGGAGCGTAACTTTTAAATCCAGATATCGTGTTTTGTTCTACTAGAGTTCAGTATGATTTCATAGTTGTCATTGAACATCATTACAAGCTTTCTTAGAAGGTCCTCTGTTTAACTGATTTCCCAGGACTCCCTTGTGCCTCAGAAGGGATGACTCTGTCATGTTGTTTGTATTGGTGTGTTCACTTGCAAAGAAGAAAAATAGAGAAAACAGAAAGGAAAAGCCCTTACATGGCTCAGAGGTGTAATGTGAATCACAGGACCTGTGTCTGTAGTCCCAGCAGGTGAAGCTTTAAGGTTGAAACCTTAAATGTGAAATTGAAAATGCTGCTTTAAAACAATGGGTCGATCAAAATTCTTCCAGTTATTGGCAGAGAACAGAACTCGTACCCTGGGGTCAGTCTCTTTCCAACTGATCTCACTAATGAATGAAGTTACGGAGGAATGCAGCTTTTCCCTGACCCCAGTCATACATCTCAGCTGCATCTAGAGAAATTCAGAAAGACTTGGATTTTGTCTTGGGAATTTTGTTTTGCTTTTCCCATCTCTTCTTTACCCTCCCCCACCAAGGCAAATGTTGAGACGAGTAACTTTTAGCTTTGAAAGCGTAAAATTGAGAGGAGAACAGGCTATCCCACGGTTTACACTGCCTTTTAAAGAAAGAAGCCAATCGTGAACTGCAAACAGCTGTAAAACCATCTAAATTTGGGTTAGATTTGCATCTCTTCTGAAGTTATAACTTTGGATAGCTTCATTAATTACATCATTCTCGAAGCAATAAGGATGCTGAGCCTGCAGCGAGGTCCGATCGATGAAATAATGGAATCTTCTTGTTATTGGCAGCAAAAGATGATGGAAGCATTGCTGTTGCCCTGGGCTACACCGCTCACTTGGTCTCAATGATATCCTTCTTCCTGCAAGTGCCACTCAGGTATCCCATAATTCACAAGGGCTCTCGGTCTACCATCAAAGATAACATCAATGACAAGCTGACGGAGAAAGAGCGAGAGTAAGTATGTGGTAAACATGCTTGTGTACTTCCTTCGAAACAACCAAAAAAATCTTGGAACAGTTTTGAAGTGATACGGAGTTGGAAGTTGTTTGTTACTGCTTGCAGTAGCCATGAGACAGTTGTTTGAGTTTCCCATGTTGGAATTCTGTGATCTGAGAGAGTAGCTAGTCCAGCTTGGTCATTCTAGGTCTGTTGGCGGTTGAGACTTCTCGTAATGATAGAATAATTGAAGTAGTGTGTCACCTCTGCTATGGAGACAGGCTGGGAGAGTTGGGGCTGTTCAGCCTGGAGAAGAGAAGGCTCCAGGGTGATCTTATTTCAGCCTTCCAGTACTTAAAGGGGGCCTACAGGAAAGCTGGAGAGGGAATTTTGACAAGGGTGTGTAGTGATACGACAAGTGGCAATGGCTTTAAACTGAAAGAGGGCAGATTTAGATTGGATATAAGGAAGAAATTCTTCACTCTCAGGGTGGTGAGGCAGTGGCACAGGTTGCCCAGAGAAGCTGTGGCTGCCCCATCCCTGGAAGTGTTCAAGGCCGGGTTGGATGAGGCTTTGGGCAACCTGGTGTAGTGGAGGGTGTCCCTGCCCATGGCAGGGGGGTTGGGACTAGATGCTCTTTGAGGTCCCTTCCAACCCAAACCATTCTGTGGTTCTTATAGGTAAGTTTTGGCTGCTGATTGTAAAACTTGCCCTTCGTGTTTCGACACTGGCGAGGAGAATAAACTGCAGATGGCAAGTGTAGCTTCACTGGGGAGTTACTGCCAGTACTGGAGGAGTGGTTGATGAACATGAGAAAATAAATACCTTTCTTTAACGCAGAGGATTTTAACCATTTGAGGCAGAGCACTGTGAACTGTTATCTACTATAAATCGACTTAATATTCAATGAAGAGTTTTTCATCTGGTCTGTAATCAGTCTTTCAACATGGAGCTACACTATTGTTGTTACTGTGCTGCTAAGAAACTGTTTTGCTGTCCTTGAATCTGCTCTCTGAGTGCCTTCTGTGTTTTGCCTGTCTGCCCCACTGTCTTTGCACCTGTGTGCTCTGGTATGAAAATAGTGGAAATACTGGTTCAGCTTCACTTTGTAGCCTGCAAGCACACAACTCAAAGGAATGCAACGGTGACCAGCTGTGAGAGGCCACCTGCTCCTCTGCATGTATGGGTGGCTGCAAAGTCAGCCTTGCAGCACCAGTAAAGTCAGCCTTGCAGCACCAGTACTCTGTTTTTCCGTGTGCAGGGTTTGAAAAGGGAGCAAAGGAAATGCCTGAGGGGAAATGAATTCGTGGAAAGTAGCTGTCTCTGTTGACATGAAGCCTGTAAAGAACCCTCTTCTTCTTGGAAATATGCAGTCAAAGTATTGTCATATTTTAACACTAATTCCTAATAGTCCAAATCAAGATGGAAGGGTCTTACTGTGCATAGTTGAGAGGACTGGGATGCTTGGAAGTGTCTGATTTCTCTTTGAAGTTCGGTGACTTTTGGCAGGGCAGCAGAGGTAACTTGCCTTAAGAGTTAAACTCACGGAAGTCTTCCTGTTCTGACACAATAAAATATGACCGATTACGTCTGGCAAATTAATTTTGATACCATTTTAATAACTTGTCCAAACACTTCCTCGGTGACTTAATAGAACATTAATCTGTTTTGCTTCGGTTTAGTTCTCTGAGCATGTGCTCATACTCCTTCCTGTACATCACTTTTCAGAAGGGTAGGAAACTAGAACATTTCTATCTGGAAAACAGATTTCTGAGGAGTAGAGCTGCCTGTGTGTGGGTGTATAAAGATTAAACCAATTTCCTGTTGTCTGAGACAGATTGGAAGGTTTAGTCCTCCAGGCTACAGCCTTCCAAACCCTCATGACTTAATACTTTATTTCGCAACAGATTTCTGAAAAGGAGAACGTTTAGCTAAGTATATGAATCCCTGTTGGGCCATGTACCTGTGTTCTGCAAGATTTTTTCAGGATTAGCTCCTGCCTGAGATCTTCCCTTCCCAGCTATTGGAGAGTCAATCCTACCAACTCTCAAAGGACTTCAGTTGCTGTAGAAAAACCTCAAGTGTCTTAACTTGCTGTTTTCTTTCTGTACTAATAGCTCATATTTCTCACCTGCTCCTAACTGAACACAGCGTTTAACAAGCATTATTAATTTTTTTTATTTCAGTGATATGTCCTGTAGCAGCGTTTCAAACTCCAGTGTAAACTGTTGAGTAATTAAAGTGAGGTTTTTCCCTATACTCAATCTTTATTATAACGCATAGCTTCATGATTGTTGACTAAGTTAACCGTTTTACTTGGCTTTGTAGTGTTTTTTTTTTTTTCCTGGACTGCAGGGTTACTCTGAGATCCATCTTAAGAGCTTCTGAAAATTGTGCATTGGGGACATAGCTGGTGTTTTCACCTGAAAGCGATTCCATAAGTACATGTGTTCATTTTTAACATTACACCATGTGAATGTGTAGAAACTTGAACACTTTCAAGTTTCTTTACCAGCTTTTTAAAGGCCTTCTAATAAGCTGGTTGAATATTTTGAGAGCTTTCAGGACGTAAGTTACGTTTGGGAGATGCTTTATGGGCTTTAGATTTGTTTACTTGGATGATCCAGTTCACTTAAATCTCAGGGTTCTTGTCGAAGTATCTGATTTTGTCTGCTGCAATTGCTGTAGGAGGCTGGGGTGAGAATTTGGCACTTGTCTGGCTGCATTACTGGATGTAATATAATTAAACAAAAGATAAAATAAAATAAAATAAATAAAATACCTGTCAGTAGCACACAATGTATGGTCAGCTTTGTAACTCTAGAGATACTAGTATTTATAATCTATTCAATAACTGTTCTCTCTTCTTGTATTCCATAAAATAGTTTTGGTACTACTGAAAGTCTGTAAGTTTTCTCCCATAAATCTATTTTTATGACTTCCCAAACGATAAAGGTAAGGCAAGAAGATAGTTTTTTCACCAAATAGCTCACTGACACACTCCTTCAGTCGTCCCTTTCAACATCTCCAGAGTGCATCAAATATGTAGGAAGAAAGAGTACCGTTTCTCAAAAGTTCTGGAGTCTGAAGCAGATTTCCAAGGAAATGATGGATATATAACTCCCAAATATCAGCTGCTTAGGACAGCAGCATGTTCGTGTCTCCAGTGACAAACATGCTTGCTGAATAAACCACCTAAATTCCTTGGCACTGTTCGTGTGGGACTGAACCCTAGCACTTCATCGCGTTCTCGTAAACACAGTAAGAGTGCTGAGATTAAACTATTTACATCTTCTGACGCTGTCGAGCCCTGCGTTCCATGCTGGTATTAGTCTGCTCGCAGGGTTTTAAATAGGGAATAGCTTCCAGTTTCCAGTGAAGTAAGGGTTGTTATGTCTGGAGTGAGACACTCTTTGTGAAATTGCCTGTCTTGGTGTCGCTGCTGCTCTGGTCACGTTTTTTAGATAGTCTTCACTTCAGTTTTCTTCTTTCAGTGTCGATTCCTTCTAAACATCTCGCAAAGTGAATGCCTTCCTTTTGCTGGCTGGAAGCTTACTGAATCTTTTGAAACAGTATCAGTCTCCTCCTTCATTTTAAAGTGAGTACAGCGAAGCACACTTATGCCATCTGTTCAGGAGTCTTTTGGCGTCTCTGTTGACTCAAAGCTACGCTCAGTTGCTGCTTTTTCTGATTGAAACTTTGCGTGGCAGTTCTACAACCTGCCAGTTGAGTATTGAGTAGACCAGCGACTAAACTGGTCAAGGGGCTGGAAAATAAAACTTATGGGGAGCAGCTGAGGGAGTTGGGGCTGTTTAGCCTGGAGAAGAGGAGGCTGAGGGGAGACCTGATTACAGCCTACAAATACTTGAGAAGGGATGGTGGGGAGGTGGGGGAAGGGCTCTTTACATTAGTGTTGGGTGATAGAACAAGAGGAAATGGGCATAAGCTTAGTCAGGGGAGATTCAGGTTGGATGTTAGGAAGTATTTCTTCTCTGAAAGGTTTGTCAGCCAGTGGAATAGGCTGCCCAGGGAGGTGGTTGAGTCCCCATCCCTGGATGTGTTTAAGAATAGGGTGGATGATCTACTTGAGGATATGGTTTAATGGGGATTAGGGATGGTTGGACTCGATGATCTCTAAGGTCTTTTCCAACCTAGAAATCTATGAATCTATTTAAGAAGAGAATACTCGTTTAATCAAATCACATTAGACAGCTTGGAAATATGTATACTCTCCTAAGGAAAATAACTTTGGAGTTTAATCACCTTTCTGGTACGCTACATGTGTTTGGACAAGTGAAATACACACTCAGAGCAATTATTTCTGTTGTATTTTTGCATTCTCATTCATACTGTGTCTTTTAAAGGATTTCTCAAGACCTCTTACTTCCCTGCTAGGTAATTTGGAAATGAGAATGGTTTCAAGAAATAGCTTTGCTACTTGCCTTTCATTGCCAGAGCTGTGTCTTGACTGAAATCAAGCTTCAGAAGAACTAAATATTGAGAATAATTAATTTTTGTTTTTCTGGATGAAGAGCTGTACCTGTACTTGAATTTCTGTATAAAGCAACACTATTGAGCAGCAGTGGAAGTACTTGTTAGTTTTGAAACAAATCTGTGCAAACTATTTGCATTTTTCATTTTTGAAAAAAACTACTCTATAGCATAAGAGTGGCAATAGCATTAGTAGCAATGGTAGGTAGTTTCATGATTAGTTCCCTGACTTGCCTCGTTGGAATGACTTCTTTTCTGCTTGTTTTTGTAAGTTATGCTACTTCTTGTCCTGCGTGAACACCTGAACACCTTTTCTTGTCGCTATGAAATGCCTGTCAGTTGCCCTACTTTGTTCTTGTAGAAAACAGGATCAAAAAGTTCCCTGTGTTTGCAGCTAAAAGTGATGGGTCTGATCCTGAAGTAGTTTTCAAGAAACTATTTCTGTGATGTGGGGTTATACTTCAAAATTTTGTTTTTCTGGAGCTCAGTTTCATCAGTATTGCAAACTTGAGCATGCCAGAAGACTA